CACACAGACGACGACACTGAGTCGGGACCGCAGGAGTATGTACGCGCCGGCATTTTCGAAGCCCTCATGCTCTACATCCAAAAGTACGAAGATGTTTTCGGCCCGCATCTGGGTCAGTTCATCGAGAGCACCTGGAGCTTCTTAATGTCCGTTGGGCTAGAGACAAAGTACGATATTCTGGTTAGCAAGGCGCTCCAGTTCCTCACCGCAGTCGCCTCGACACAACACGCCACCGCCTTTAACAACCAGGATGTCTTGGTCCAGGTGATTGAAAAGGTCATTCTGCCCAATCTGACATTGCGCGAATCTGATATCGAACTCTTCGAGGACGAGCCGATTGAGTTCATCAGGAGAGATCTTGAGGGTTCAGACAACGATACCCGCAGACGCGCTGCGACCAACTTCTTGCGCCAACTCATGGCTCGTTTTGAAGGACTTGTCACGAGCACCTCCAAGACCTATATCGATGCCTACCTCCAGGACTATGCCAAGGACACTGCCAACAACTGGAAGTCCAAGGACACTGCAGTCTACCTCTTCACTGCTATTGCTGCAAAGGGTACCGCGACCGCTGGTCAGGGCGTAATGAGCGTCAACGAAAATGTCAACATTCTCGAGTTCTTCCAAGCCCACATTGCCGCTGATCTGCAAGCGCAAGGTGCCTCACCAATCCTCAAAGTCGACGCCATCAAGTTCCTCTACGTCTTCCGCAGTCAGCTGTCACCCGACCTGTGGCGTGCTGCCTTCCCGCTGCTTGTCAACCAACTAGGCGACGAAAACTATGTCATCCACACATACGCAGCTATTGCTGTAGAACGTGCTCTGTTCATGACCGACGCCAACCGACAGCCCATCATCCCCAAGGCCGACGTGGTGGCGTCGTCCAAGGATCTCCTGGCGCACTTGTTCAAGCTCATCACCAAGAACTCTGCCCCTGAAAAGATTCAAGAAAATGAGTTCCTGATGAAGTGTGTCATGCGTGTGCTCATTTTCGTGCGCGATGGCGTTTTGCCAATCTGTGAAACAGTTCTCCAGAACTTCATCAATATTGTCAAAGTCATCAGGCACAACCCCAGCAATCCCCGCTTCCAGTACTACCTATTTGAGGGAATAGGCGCGCTCGTCCGATTTGGTGCGCCCAAGCACCCTCAGTTCTTCGAGGAGAAGCTGTATGAGCCGTTTGCGGCTTGTCTGCAGGCTAATGTCGAGGAGTTCTCTCCCTACATTTTCCAAATATTCTCTGCATTGCTCGAAGCGAACCCCTCTGGCGAGCTCAGCGAATACTACAGAAGCCTGTTTGCAATCATCATCCAGGGTGCGGTCTGGGAGCAGCGTGGTAACGTACCTGCATTGGCCCGTCTCCTCAGCGCCATGGTGTCTCGTGATTCCCAGCACATTGTCGCCAACAAGCACCTGGAACCCATTCTGGGTATCTTCCAAAAGCTTGTTACCAGCAAGGCACACGAGACTTATTCGTTTGAGCTCATCGAGTCGGTTGTGGCCAATATCCCAGCCGATGCTCTCCAGCCATACTTTGTCACTATTCTCCAGCTGATGCTGACGAGGTTGTCCAACATGAAGACGGAGAACTTCCAGCAGCGCTTCATTGCCTTTTACCACTTTGTCTCGGCCCGACTGGACAAGGGACTTGGCACTGATTTCTTCATCAGTGTCACTGACCAGATTCAGCATGAGTAAGTCGTGCGCTTGTTAAGATATTGATACGGTCGCTAACTTTACAATAGTGTTTTCAAACCCATCTACTTGACGGTCATCCTGCCCGATACTCAGAAACTTGCACGCCCCACTGACCGCAAAACTGCCGTGGTATCTTTTACCAAGACGCTTGGTGATTCGCAAGCGTTTGTCGATCGATACCCCAAGGGTTGGACACTTACGACTCAGCGGTTGATTGAGCTCTTGGTCAATCCACCCGTCCCCACAGCCGCGGACGATATTATCCCGGACGCTGACGTCGATGAGCTTGGTTTTGGTGTTGGCTTCACACAACTCAACACGTGCAAAAAGGCACCTCGTGACCCATTTCCTGAGATTGCCGATGTCAAGCAGTGGGTCAGTCAGTATCTCAAGGACGCAGATGCGCGTCACGGAGGCCGCATTGTCAAGATTGTGCAGGAGCGACTTGATGATACTTCGAAGCAGGCATTGGCAGCATATCTGAGTTAGGTGTGTTTAGTGATGAAGTAGACTTGGATATTGGAGATAAATGAAGTAATCGACGTAACAAAAGGGGACATGGGTTAATGATACCAGGGTTTTAGAATACTAAGTGGTTCGGAGTTTAAATTTCTCCCCGACGCTTCGTTTAGCAAAATTAAGCAAAGACATAGGCACATAATTCGACTATATAAGCGTGAAACAGCTCAGCGTGATGATGGTGTGTTTGCAGAAGACTTGTCATACTATTTCTGTCTTCGAAAAATAGAATTAAAAAGTCCGATGGAGTAGGAAGTGAATAATAATAGGCCATCTTCCTCTTGTTATTGGTAATAAAAGGTTCACCATCATCGCCTCCAGTTCGAAAAAAGAGGTAACCCATGTAAAATTTCCATCCAAGTACCAAACTATTACCAAGACATATGTAAAACCGGACAAACCCCTAATTTCTTCTTTGTTTCTTTCTTCCTCATTAGCCCATTTCCTTACTACTTACATATGCAGTAAAATTGCTTTTACTTTATCCAGGGTAAATCTTCATTCCAGATTCCCTAGTACAGCCTTTCGTAAGATTTTAGTCAACCCCCCCCCCCCCCCCCTCCTTTCTAACTATCCTCCGCCCTACTTTATGCTACATGCGGCAGTTATAGCAAGATACCCATCCGAAGATTTGCTTTTTTGGGGGTATAAATCTCACGTCAGCCTATTGTGGGTCTGTGGTGCTAATAGGTGCGGCTGTGCGGATTGTAGAGGCAGTTTTACTTTCCTTTTCTTTTTGGTAAAATAGTGTATGATGTGGAGTGTGGTTGTGGGATGGAGAGTGATGAAGTTTGTTGGGGAGTAGGTTGACGTTGTTGTGAGGGAGTTTTGAGAGGATGGAAGGGAAAGGGGAAAGTATAGATCAGCGCTTTTAGGGGCGGTGCTTGGGGCTGAGGGCTGAGGGATAGCTTCGGGGGGGGGGCGCATACAAGTAGTCATGTAGATACGAGTCTGGATTTACTCAGCGGTACAATGTAATTTACTAAAAAGTTAGGTTTTTTGCGTTATCTTGTTGGCTTTTCTTGGATTGCGTCACTTGTTTTTTTCTTGGCTTGTTTTCGCGTAGATCGTTGTGGTGAAAGTTTGGGTGTAGGGTAGGGGTAAGCGTATAGTATGTAGAACAGTAAGCAAGAGTAGATGTTCGAATGATTTGTATATATGTTTATTAGACAAGATTGAAACAACTGAATGGACTTGGTTTACTGTGTACTGCGATAGCGGACCCCCCCTGTCCATTTTCCCTCATAATGAGCCAAGCTGCTTGTAGCTCTTGTTATTCGGACCTTTGGACCCACCACGCGCTTTGCAATTACGGAAACTAGCGATTCTCGAAAGAAGCGTGGGCTTTTTGTGTACGAGTACCTTAGTCGTTGTTGTGGATACCTTGTTCGTGTATACATACTTCATGCCCCTTCCACGTATCCATCAGTCTCCCTCTTCTCGTTGTACAACAAATTCAAACACCACCACCACCACTACCACCACCACATATCACATACCAAGAAGAAATAACCGGACAATGCAATTCCTCACATTAATCTCCCTCGGCCTCAGCGCCACATTCGTCCTCGCAGCCCCAACCGCCGACCTCACTGGTGCCGCCCTCACCAAGCGCCAGGCTATCTGTGGAGATGGAAATCGAGGATCGCCACTTTGCTTTGGTGGCATCTTGTACACTTGTACGACGGGTGGGTGGAGGCAGATTTCATCGCCGTGCCAATAGCAGTTTTTTTTGGTAAGTGGACTGTGCTTGTGTGGTTTGAAGGGAAAAAGGAGATGAGGTGAGAATGTTGCTGACAGTGGAATGAACAGGGTATATTGAGAGTGTGTTTGTGAAGTGGGAAAGAGGAGATGAGAAAGTAGGGGAAGGATGGAGGTTAGGGATACAGATGATGATGGAAACTGTTTGTAAAGTAGGGGTGATTGAGGAGCGCTTTGACTGTTCGTACGCTTGTCTTTATGAAGATATTGCGAATAATGAAAATTTGGGATGCAAAATTTTGTGTTGGATGCTGTCTGGATATGATTGTGACTTTGGTGTGCAAGATTTGGATAGTGGTGATGGGTGATGCAAATGTTATTGATAGGGTGTCCTTGGCTGTAGGAGTAAGATTGTGGAATGTGATGAGACAGGAGAGAGATGTGAGTTGCGAAAACGACATTCTGTGATAAAGCTTGGATTCATCGTGCTGTGGCGAGAAGACAAGTGTGTGTATGCATGGTAGCTATCTGAGTAAGGATGACGTATTCGAAGTTCCACTTTGCTTACTTTGCGTTGGCCAAAGTCTTTAACTACAGTATTTCTATGACTGACATCCTATAGGTAATTCCTGATTACGTCACAACTCATTTTTTACATCCTGCAAGAACGTTAAAAAGAAATTCATCACATTTCAATTGAAGGTCAAAGTAAAAAGTTGCATCTGCTTGAATTAAAAGTCTTCTATGTCTGATGTGCTTGGAAGAAGAAAGGCTCGAGAAAAACAAGATCGCTTGCTAGATGATAAAGTAGATGCAATGCCAGACAGAAAAAAAACGCTCTAACTTTCTTTTTTGGTTTCCACGAGAAAAACGAACAAACGCCCCAAAAGTGATGTTGATAACGAAAAAACACAACACACCGCTCTTCGCATGTTGTGTATGGACTCCTTGCAAGTAGTACCGCCGTTTCCCTTTCCCATTCCCAATCCCATTGGTGATCCTTGGATTCTAAGTAAAAAAGAATAAAAAAGTGTCGTGACGATAATGGGTATCTCTTTCTTTCCTTGTAAAATCATTTGCACTTAAGCATACTTCTCAATCATGGCCATGGCGCCGTGCTTCTCGAGACCCTCGAGAGCAGTCTGGAGCTCGGAAACGAAGCGCTTGTCGTTGCGGAGATCGTCACCGAACAAGCTCTTGATGTTGAGCTGAGCCATGGGGCCCTGTGCAGCGTGGGCCTGAAGCTCCTCGACCATGGGGTCGTCGACCTTGAAGGCCTTGCCGGCATCATCGACACCGTTGTTGTAGCGGAACCAGGCGGCAGCTACAAGGGTGAGGCGGCGGAGGGGACCACCGGCAATGATCTGCTCAGCAATGCTGGGCATGATGAATTGAGGGATCTTGCCGCTGCCACCGAGGCAGATACGGGGAAGCTCGTCCTTGAGGGTGGGGTTGGAGAAACGACCGAGGAGGGTGTTGCAGTAGTCGTCGACGCTGACACCGGGGATCTGGGGGAGGAGAGGCTTAACCTCCTGCTGCATCATGTTGATGATGAACTGGCGGTACACGGGGTGGCCAATGACCTCGTGGATGTAGTTGAAGCCAGCGAGCTGACCGGCGTAGCCCATGGCAGAGTGGGATCCGTTGAGGAGACGGAGCTTGATCATCTCGTACTCCTCGACCTTGTGGACATCGGGGACAATCTGGACACCGGCCTTCTCAAAGGGAGGGCGGCCGTCAACAAACTTGTCCTCGAGCACCCACTGGTGGAAGGGCTCGGTGACGACTGGCCAGGCATCCTCAACACCGAACTGCTGGGCAAGGCTGACCTTGTCCTCCTCATTGGTGCGGGGAGTGATGCGGTCGACCATGGAGTTGGGGAAAGCGCCGTTGCTGGCGATCCACTCGGCAACCTCGGGGTTGAAGTGACGAGCAAAGGAGACAAGCATGTCACGGCTGATGTCACCGTTCTTCTGCATGTTATCGCAAGAAAGAACAGTGAAAGGTCGGAGGCCAGCAGCGTGGCGGCGGGCCATGGCGGCGTAGAGGTAACCAAAGACGGTGTGGGGTGGCTGTCCACCAGCCAAGTCGGCGGCGACGTCGGGGTGGTCGGTCTGGAGCTCGTGGGTGTTCTCGTTCATGTAGTAGCCGCTCTCGGTGACGGTCATGGAAACAATGTGAGTGTCGGGGTGGGCCATCTTGGCGACAACAGCCTCGGCGTTATCGGGAGCAAACATGTAGTCGGTAATGGCACCGCAAACACGGGCACTGCTGCCCTCGGCGGCGCGCTCAATAATGGTGTAGAGGTTGTCCTGGGGCTTCAGGGCATCGCGCATGGGAGCGGCGAATGGCTGAAGGTCAACACCGCAGATGGACCAGTCCTGTACGTTGAATTGCTCGAGGAGCGTGTCGACGTAAGCAGCAAGATGGGCGCGGTGGAAACCGCCAACACCAACGTGGACGATTCCCTGCTTGACACCTTGTCGGTTGTAGGTGGGAATGGAGACATTCTGGAGCTGTGCAAGGTTCTGGGTGTTGAGCTTAAGAGGGGATGCTACCGCGCGACGAGCTTGTGTCGAGGCGGAGGAAGGGATCTTCTCCTCTTTGCGGTGAGTAAACTCCCTGGGTGGGGCGTTGTAGATGGGCTTGCCCTCTGAGGGGGTTTGCCGAACAGCCTCGGTGGACTGGAATCTGATGGGAGAGGCGCGGTGGCAGGGCCTGGTGGACTGGAAGACAGCCCGAGCGCGGGCTGCTCGCAGGAGGTTCCTTGGGACTTGGGGAGGCATGGCTATGTGTGCAAGAGTAACGTAGGTAAAAGGTACGAAGAAAAGATACGGATGTGCAACGAACAAAGGCTGAGGGTCAATGGCTTATAAAGAGAATGCTCAGTCTTTTTTTGTGGGCTCGAGTGTACATGTCTCGTAAGCATGGTGCCAGGAAAAAAAAAGTCGCCATAGCGTATGTAGGAGCCCCTATTTTTTCAGAGGGTCTAGACATGGTGGATTCTGAGTCGGGAAACGAAGGCTGATAGCCTGTGCTTCGGGAAACGTGGGCAGTCGCCAAAGGAAGGGGGGGTGGGGAGACGGGGGGACGGGTGCTGCGGCTTGGATTGTGTTGTGTCGGTGGGCGGTGGGCGGTGGGTGGCGAGCTGGGATGGGTACGTGCAAGGGGGTAGGTGACCGGTGCGCAGGAACAGTTTGGCGGGCTGGTACCGGACGATTAGGCTTTTTTTTCTTGTGGCCTTTGACGCGTCTCTTGGAACGGAGCCCCAATTTTTAGACTGGATAAAAGTTTCAGACTTTTACAGCTGCCGCCTCCGCGGTGTGAAGAGCGTGAAAAGGAGCCACAATTGGGCCGGTGAGCTAGGGTAGTGCTGATGCTTGCTGGCGATTTTGTGCGATCAGAAGCAGAATGTGCAATGACGCGGGGCGTGGGTCGAGTGATGCGATGCGACTGACAGAAGGCTGTGGCTTGCCGCTCTCTAGTGTGTATGTCGAGGTGTTTAGTTGAGAAGTGGTGATAGGGATACAGCTAGAGGACGGAGGTTATTGGCGTGGGGCGTGGCGTGGCGTGGCATGGCGTGGGGGAGGGTGTGAGTTTGCTCGCCTCGCGCCCATGGCTGGTTAGACGAGGATAGCAACAATAGGACTAGGTAGGTAGTGTACTGCACTCATCACTCATGCCCGTGGCTGCAGCAGCCATACATGGTGTTGTTGCTCTTGTTGACCGCATCACATTGCCAGGCCGCGCTTGGCGTTGCCATGGCGTGCAGCACAATGCCATGGGCGCCGACGACACTGCGACAGCGACAGCTCTGGCCGCCCTGCCCTGGGCTCAGCATAGTAAGTAGCATGGCCTTGTCGATGGGCTGCAGCTGGGACGGGAGGGCGTCTCAAAGCGGAAGCACCAGAGAGCATCCGACGCAGCTAGGGATTGCGTTGAGAGATAGGGCAGACAAATGGCAGCGCGACTCGTTCACCGACTTGTGTGTGTGTGTGTGCATTTGCAATGCCATGGCCCAAAATGCGAAAAACGGCCACCAAAGGGATCTGCGCTGTGCGCCCTGCAGCTGAGCCTCATGCGGTATCGCTGGGCAGCACATCATCCCCGCCAGTGCTCCAGTCGTGCTGCACCTGGCCTGCATGCTCCTCACCCTCCCCATTATTATTATTAGATCGGCAAAGAGAGCGGCGGCGACACCGCCCCTCCGGCCTTGTCGCCGCTGCTCTAGACGACTTCAATTCTCTGGCGCTACGACGTCAATTGCCACCGGGACTACTTAGTCGGTACAAGCCGAGACGGGCCCATTTCAGGGGGGCCTTGCAAGCGCCCATCCTTCCCATCCTTCGAAGCCCCAAATCCCACTTTTGGCGGCTTCGAGAAAGAAAGCGAAAACAAAATACCTGCACTGTGAGCAAGCTTGCTTATGCTTACCCGCCCTCCAGATAAGCTGCGATGGTGATCCATTCCCCACGCTGCCACCCGACACTGATACTGGCCCGCCGCGGGGATCCACCTCTTGCAACACCATGCCACATCTTGGGATAGTCTATACACCCATCTACTCCTCCCTTCCACTTGTCTCCATACGCATGTGCATGCTAATAGTACCTACATGTGTTGAGGGCGGCTACAGGATGAAGAAGCAACATGCAACACTCCTGCTCGACAGTGCTCCCCCCTCTGCTTCACCGCATCCTCCCTCCCCTGGCCCCGGCCATGCCAACAGCGGGACTGGGCCGGAAAATACACCTCGAACATGGCAGGAGCTCGCAATCGTCTCGGCATATTGTGTGCAACCCGCCGTCTGGACTCGCACGCGCCCCGTGTCCAGCATCACGCGCGACATTGGGGTTCGCGGAAAGCACAGAGCCTCTGGTTACCAAGCAATAAGCATCCCACCCATCCACCCCCCGACAACACTCGTCTTCACGATGCCCGTTTGAGACTGTGTGCAATTACCCCCAGACGGCCCAATAGCCTTTGCGGACTTCCCCACGGCTTCCAATACTCGCTACTTACGCGTCCCCCCATTCCCCCCCCCCGTATCCGACTGCGTCCGTGCCATACTCCTTTCTTTCTTTTCCTTCATCCAAGCTCCAAAAACACCTTGTCCATTATTCACATCTCTTGGCTCGACATGCCTCGTGACTGCTTCCTACCCCCCGGCATTCGCTGCATGTCCCGCCGCCCCGGGTCATGGTCATTCCCTCGACTCGTCTCACTGAACACGTTGTGTCGCCCACATGCCTGCCCTTCACCACGCCCAATCGGCTTTTTGCCCGCCCTCCAGCCTTATTTCGTTGAGCACATGGATGATATGATGCCACCATAACATGGCCTTCCACAAGCCCATGTGCATGGTCTGGATACGTATGCACCCATCGGAGTTATTACATACTAGATTGTCCTTTACCCCACGGCATAATTGCCCAGCCTACTTGCACACCTTCGGTGCATTGTCACCGCCTGCTTTCGGAATCCGAGACTTACATTGTGCTATCCCACCGAACAACAGTCACCTGCTCACTGCCAGTATTTCCTTCCAGAGACATCCGAGATTACCTATCATCAATCAGTATCAAACGCGGACAAATTCATATACAGAAACAAATTCTAGACAATATTTGGAAAGAAACATGTGGCCGTAATGGCCCTTGTGCAGCATCCAAAGGGATGACTGACTGTTCTTTGTCACCATGTCGACTACCTACCCACACCATTGTCTCCGCAAACAAACTTGACACTGACACCTTGCACTGCCAGTTTCACCTCCATCTGCAACCCCCTTCCCCACCATCTGGAGTAGGAATTCCGCGAAAAATCCCATAACCTTCTTTATTTTGTCAGGACCCCCATCTGAAAATGGCGAACACATTGCCCCACCGCTTTGCCGCCGCCCGCCCCATATATCTATCTTAGCCTTTTCTCGCCGGAGCCAAGGTTTTTAGTAACAACGGGGTCACTTGTAGGGCTGATCTCCACCTTGGTGCGTGCAGGTACGAGGCGTCCTGGGGGGCAAATCTTTAGCGCAATCTCTGCGTGAGATGCAGCAAGGCTTGATTCTTCGGGACCCACTGCTGCGGTCTAGGGATTTTGTAGGCTAAATGGGTGTTCGGAGGCGATGATGATAGTGGAGTTTTCCGCTTGATATACCCGTTTTCGATGTGCGAGATGGTGAGATTGGCGGTTTGCGGGTAAAGACATCTTACTCTATTCGTGTGTTGCCACCCTGGTGGAGTTTGCTCTTTCCTCATCAGTGTCAACGTTGCTGGTCTCTGTGGCGAATGTTCAAGCAATCCTGGAGCCAGTGGGTCTCACTGGCAAATTTCGTCCTACATACTTGACACCGACTTGGTAGTTACCTCTTCCTGTGGTCTTAAGACTGTTCTGCAAGAGGAAGCCGCACAGAGCGAGTAAGCAACTGATCGTCGTCCTGATCCCACATTGTGAGAAAACGGTCAAATGCGAGTGATTGAGTAGCCTTGCAGTGACTCAAACTGCTGTACTAGTGATGCATCAACTTGAACCATACTCACAACTCTACAGCCGAGTTGATTCACTTCCTACCTGTACCCAATCTTTCAAACCCTTCAACCCGCATCTATCAATCCGACACCACATGCAAACATGCCCACCTAGTCCCTCCCCTTACCTCCCTACCTCCCTACCTCCTTATCCTCCCACCAACTCCATCAAAAGCAATCCTACAAACCTTCCCAAAATTCCAATAAACCCTAACACAAAAATAGAAACCTCGCAACCCCTTGGCCCATGCCCACACATATCTCGCTTTGCGCCCAACCAAAAAAAAAAGCCACAGATCTAGACCTGGGGGGCCGCGAACCACACACAGCTTTGGTAAACTAAGGGCGCTAGTTGCCAGTATTTGGCGGGACGGTCCTTTTTCACATTGCATATTACCCCCATACCTCCCTTTTTTAAATGGTTCGTTACAAGGGGTGTGCGAGATAGTGTTGTGGAGTAAGTCCTGAATAATGTTTGTCCTTGAGGAAGCTGGAGAAGTGTGGAGAAGGTTAGTGTAGCGAGGAGATCTTTGCATGCATAGTAGAACGGGTCTGGGGTACGTACGTGTAAGGGAAGCGGAGGTCGTCGAAACATCGTTGCGGGTGGGAGGTGCAACGCTCTTGAACACATTTTATAAGCCTCTTCCCCAAAAGCATATCGCATGGCTCATCGTTGATGGGTTGGGATGAGGAGATCCTAATGAAGAAGCGTAAACCGAATAGTTTAGGAGTAGTAGTGTATAATACGAATTTTATTAAATCTCTATTAGATAACACGCTAGTTATAGTCTTAGCGTATATATAGTATAATAATAGAGTTTTCAAAAATGTAACAGTTCGAGTACATATCGAACTGACACCCGAATGGGATCCGAACATGGGCGCGCACTAGCCGAAGAAGATCCGCTGATATAAAACCCCG